GAAATTTTAGTGTCTTTGTCACTGTAAACACTAAAACAGCTTAAATAAACAGTTACCAATGTCTTAAAAGATGCATTTCTGCAATATTTTAAACTTAAAGTACATAATATTTGTTTCAAATCAGATTAATTATACTTTAACTTAGCTAATATTCATAAAATAAAGTTTCAGAAAAGCATATTTTTGGAAGATTCTGTAATAACTAGCTTAAAAGCCACCCTATAAGGTGGCATTTAAACTAGCTCCTGCGGATGGCTCTTGATTGGGCTTTCATCACAATAGGTAGGGAAAAGTAGACATGATAGACAAAAAGTAGATGACAAAGGCAACAATAAGCTATAGAAGAACTCAAAATTGAGCACTGTATTTATGTATTGCATTAATATTTAACCTCACCTTTTAAAAGTTCAATGATAATACTTCTGCTGTCACTTAATTTAAAGATAATTTAATGTACATAGATCCTTACTTTCTGTACAAACAATTATTTTTATTTTATGGGTGACTTTCAATGAATTTTGCAATTGATTTCATTTATTCCAAAATTTATTTCCAACTTATAAAAATTGTTATCATACAAAAAAATTTATCACAAGAAATCATGTAAAAAAATCGTCAAAATCAATCACAGTAATGAAAACTTGAGAATCCAAAATTTCAACATTGTGGGTCTGGTTTCAGCCCAGAATGTTTTTAATTTGCTCATAGAATTGGCCTGATTCCAAAAAGGGTATGATATTTTAGGATACAGCTTCTAGGTATAAAGTTAAAAACACAGACAATTTTATTTTGAAACACTGTAATTTGAAAACAGTAATTATTTATTTGAACATGAGCTATTGAAAGTTAGAGATTTGTGCTCTTATAATTGTTTTTTTTTTTTTTTTTAGTAGAAGCAAAGATAGCAGAATCTGAAAACAATTGCAGTAATGAAAACTTGGGAATCCAAAATTTCAGGATTGCAGGTTCAGATCTGGCCTGGAATGTTTCTAATTTGCTCCAAAATAGTATATTTTGGGACACGGCCTCTAGGAGTAAAGTTGAAAAAGTGTGACACAGTGAGATTCACCTTTATTATATAGAAGAGTTTTAAATTGCAAAGGACAACTAAAGAAATGTGTTAATCAGCTATTTTAGCAAAAAAGGCACCTTCTAGTCAATTTAAATTAGTTTTATAGTTTTTGAAATATAGCAAAGTATTTTGTTTATTGGAAATATTAAATTTAATCTGCTGGCTTGAAATAAAAACTAATGTAAGTTTCAAAAAAGATTTTTAATTTTTAAAAATTATTCATTTTAACTCTTAGGTATCATGTTTTCTGTGGAGATAACTAGTTATATATATATATATATATATTAAGAAATGGACAAGGTCCGACAATTTATTTATTAAAGACATTTTATTATGTTTAACGTTGTTATTTTATAGATACAAGTATTTAAGCAAATGCTCTGTTTATGATAAACAGTATTAAATAACATTTACCGGCCTGAATGTCCGAGAAATTTTCATAGAAAATTTTCCTGTCAAAGAACGAAAATTTTCTATGAAAATTTTCTATGAAAATTTCTCGGACATTCAGGCCGGTAAATGTTATTTAATACTGTTTATCATAAACAGAGCATTTGCTTAAATACTTGTATCTATAAAATAACAACGTTAAACATAATAAAATGTCTTTATAAAATATATATATATATATATATATATATATATATATATATATATATATATATACACTAGCAAAAAACACACAAAATAAAAAAAAATGGAAAAGAAAGTTTAAAATGATACTGAGGACATAAAAAGATAAGATCAAAGACCTCATTCCTTCCCATTCCTCTGACCAATCCTAATTTATTATCCCTTTAGCAAAGGAAGATTTTTCCATCAGTCCAAGAAGAATTTGGATTACTACCACACAAAAGACAATGGTTAAACATAAAAGACATAAGAAAAATTAATTCCTTTAAATAATATGTGGAAATAACCATTCTTTGCCTGATGAAGGTCACAATACCTGAAACACGTGTAGGAAAAATGTGGAAAATAAAGTATAATATAAATTTAAAGAAACTACATTATAATCAAAAAAATTTGTGGCTTCTTTTTAATATATATATATATATATATATATATATATATATATATATATATATATATAGCTGTTTTTATTTTAAGACAGAATGTATAGTTGTCAGCAAAAGGAAGAGTCACACATGCAAATTACAGATTGGAGATACCAAAATCAAGCAATTACAAAAATTTAAATATCTAGAAAGTGTTTTAACAGACAGAGGAAAATGTGACACCAAAACCCAAAGGGGCATTGGGTTAAAGAAAAGTGCCTTCCAAAAGCTAAGCAAAGTATTAAGAAACAAGAACAATTTTGTTAGAAGCAAATAAAAGAGTACTGTCAGTTCTCCTATATGGCAGTGTTCTTGAACAATCTTCTCTCAGATGAAGAAGAGACTTCAGGCAACAGAAATATGGTTCCACAAATGGATGCTAAGAATACCATGGCCTAAACATGAGCAACAATGAAGTTCTCAGAATGCAATCATCTGGGAATTATCTGCTGTCTTCTTGATTACTCTTTTATTGTTCTTGCTATTCTTGCTAAAATATTTTAAGACAGAAATTTATAAATTTCAACCAACAATAGTACTGGCTGCTTGGTCAATGATTGCCAAATGTTTCCTTTTTTTTTTCTTTTTTTTTAAAGCATTACACCTCAAGCAAGGCGTGAAGCCACTAGGATGCAGAGGGTTGCAGAAGATTTGGAGCAAGAGCAGATAGGAGTGATAGAAGAAAGGATGAGGAGAGGGATAGTGGATAGAACAAGGTAACTGGAGATGTCGATTGATATTACATTTGAATAGTTGGAGATTATAGCTCTCAGGGAAACAGTAATTGGGAAGGGTGTTCCACAGGTGAGAGGTGTGAGGTATGAAGCTATTGGAGTAGAAGAGACGGCTACATTTAAAAGTTTCTACAGTGTAAGGGTGGGAGCAGTATGCCAGCCTCGTAGGGCACTTGAATTCATGGAGTCTGGAAAAAAAAAAGTGAAAGAAGCTCATCAGAGCAATTACCATGAAAGTATTTGTAGAAAAGACAGAGAGAGGCGACGACGCGTCTGTGAGAGAGTGACTGTAGACAAGACGCCAGATCAGGGCCAATTATATTACATATCCGTCTCTGGATCTTATCAAGAACACTGAGGTAAACAGAAGGGGCTCCAGACCATATATGGCAGCAATACTCCATGCAAGGGCAAATGATTGATTTGTATATTTGAAGTATCGATTCCGGGGAAAAAAATTTCCTGGCGCGACACAGAGAGCCAACTTTCCTTGCGGTGGACGAAGCAATTGACTCAATGTATCTGTTCCATCTCAGGTCAGCAGTCAACGTGAGACCGAGCAGACGCAGGGAGTTGCTCTCAAGAAGTTGACTATCAGACATTCTCTTATAAAGAAATGGTTAATATTACTCTTACCATTTGTATACACAAGTAAAAATGCATTCAAATGCTTATAAATTTCTACAGATTATATACAACTGTACTCATGTTATAGAGATATATGTGCATTTGTGTACAAAGAAATGCATGCAAATGCCTATGAGTGTCTGTTAAGTATACATATCTCTATTCAGTTTATAGAGATACTGGTGTACCAGTGCTATCAATCATAAAAGCCACTTTGGTCATATACTTTTAAAAGCCCCCATACCTTCAAAATGCAAGTTGGTCTTATAATATCTTGTGATAGTTATACTGACAATGAGGTGGTAGTCATCAAAAGCGTTCACTACATAAGAAATATTGAAAATAAATATCATACTGAGCAAAATAATTATTTTTATATTTTAATGCATTTGTAAAATTAATTATAGCTATTATTATTAGATGGCATAGCTGATTTAGGATATATAACAATATATAATAATGTAATGATAATGTAATATCATAGAATGTCATAATGTAATATTATAGAATATATCATAGAATGTCATAATGTAATAATATAAAATATATTACAGAATGTCATAAGGTAATAATAATATAGAATGTAATATCATAGAATATCAAAATGTAATATAATGTAAAATCATATTATGCCATAATGTAATATAATGTAATATCATAGAATGTCATAATGTAATAGAATGTAATTGTTGTATCATTAAAGAAGGTTACAAACAGACAAAGGTGGTACTTATGTGAAAGGAACATGGCTGTAAATGAAAGAAAGTGAGGTTTATTGTAAAAGAGAATACACTACTGAAAGACAGGGAATTGGTTAGCAAGCTAGATATTCCTGAAGCAAGTCCTCCAGGTATATCCTGTGAACACTATATATATCTACTGATATAGTCAGTCCACAATAGGTGATAGAGAGAGTGGAACATTCCATTACAACACCTCCCCCTGAGCTAATTTTCCCATGAAACCTTGCTCAATACCTCTTCTTTTTGGGGCCAAAACTGTTTGACATTTTTCCTCTTCCTAGTACTTTTCCATCACACCAGTACCAAAGTAATAATAATGTGAAATAATGTAATATCATAGAATGTCATAATGTAATATAATGTACTATCATAGAATGTTCATGTAATATCATAAAATGTCACTGTGATAATTTAATGATAATGTAATGTTATAGAATGCACTTTGGTGTGCTTTCTGGCATATGAAAAGAGGGGATTCTTTTACATCCTAAAACATAACAAATAATAATGTAAAGTGCTCAGTATTTCAGAATAAAAAACAGACCAATCTTAGATTGAATTAAAATCAAAAAGCATACAGCAAGTACACTTTTAGCTTCCTGCTCATCTAAGCACGAGTTCCAGGATCAATAACTTGAATAAATAAACATTGGTCCTAGCACTTCTGACCAGACAAGCCAGAAGGTAAAAGTCAACTTGCAAACAAATTGTTCTGAGTTTTTTTTAAAATTTTAATTTTATCTGCCTATCTATGTATCTATCAAGCTTACGGCCACAACATGCTGAAATACCAGTTCCCATATGATCTCCAAAGGTAAGCAACATTGAGCCTGGTGAGTACCTAGAAGGGTGATGGCATGGGTGCTGTAAGCTAAGATGTGCAGGTGGTGTAATGGATAATAGTTCAGAATTGTTAATCAGAATGTCAAGTTTCAGTTGCCTTTGGGTTTGTTATATTCACTTAAGTGCGAATACCCTTGGGAAAGGTATAAATCCACCTATTCTCCCCCACTATGGGTTAATTAGTAAGACTTGTGTCATTATCTATAAAAAAATTCTTACAATCTAAAAGTATTTTCTCTTTTTAAATAATGTGCAAAGTGTTGATAAATCATAGAAAATGAATAAATCATTATTTATCTGTCGCTCTGTCTATCTATCTAACTATCTATCTATATATATATATATATATATATTGATACTCCTGTCGGGTTCGACGTATGAGGATCAAGTAGATCAGTTTCAAGGAAACTGACAGCCCGACACCGGCAAATAAGATTCGATTATAGTGGTGAAGGTTTCGTGCAGGACCATCCACACTTTTTGAAGGGCCGAATACAGAGACCTGGTGCACTACGTGCCACAAGGTTCCCAAACAACCCCCTCAGGTTTTGAATTCAGAGTTGTCCTTCTCCTAGACCAGTTGCCACCCAAGGCTATAGAACCCAGTCTGTCCTGCTATTTTACCCATAGCTGGAGGGAGAAGAAAAGGATTCACACCTTTTCCAAGGGTATTAGCACGTAAGTGAAATGTAATGGATTCAACCTGGATTTGAACTCGGCTCTGCGATTCCTCAATCCGATCTGATAACCATTACTCCACTATATCTCCTACATACATACATATATATATATATATATACATACATATATATAAAACCCATACATCCAATTAAAAAGTAAAAATAAAATCATCCTTGATAAAGATTAAAAGTATAGCTGAAAATACTTGGAATTACAGAATATTTGCAGTTTCTACAAACTCTGTGTCCAGAAAAGAAAGCATTTGTTCAAACACAAGAATAAATTGAATCACAGTACCATGTCTGTTGTCTCTAACATGTATAAATGAAGGATTGCTGCTTAAATACACACACACACACACATATATATGAGAGAGAGAGAGAGAGATACATGCATATTTCAGGATTAAAAGTGATTGTTGGAATTGTTATAATAATTTTTATAATTTTTGCTTAGTCCTAGGCTGCTCTCAACATAAATAAAGGCATGTAAGGAAGATTTCTAAATATTTCAGAAAAGGGATTTTGAGAATAAAGTAAAATTTTCTAAAAAAAGAAAACAACAACAATTGTCTATTTGAAAATGAAAGGTGTGTGTGTGTGTATATATATATATATATATATATATATATATATATATATATGTATGTATGTATGTATATGTGTGTGTGTGTGTGCATGTATGTATCAGTCAGCTAATGTTATATATCTAATAAATATTGCTGCATATTTCATTAAACAAGATACTTACAAAAAACCCTGTAAGAAATATGGATTTATTACAAATCAATTAGCCTTAGGCCTTTATCTTTTTCTTGATATTTTTATATCTTCTTTTCTCCCGTGCTTTCTCTCAGTACTTAAAACTTATGAGGGGGATGCTTAAAATTTTAAGGTGTGACTAAGAAACTGTCCACCCACAAAAATCTAATCTTTGGGCAGATTTTTGTAAGCAAGTCAGGCTGAGAACATTTCAGTATGTAAAAAAAAAAATTTCAACTGTACAATCCCTTTTTTCTTAAATTAAAAATGTCAATTGAAACCAAGCAAACAAGATCTACTGACCCATTTTTTATATATATATATATATATATATATATATATATATATATATATATATATATATATATATATAAAAGTGAACATAAAGTCAACACTTAGAGGTGACAGTCTGTTTCATGCTATATGCAATTGTCAGGCGCCTCTAAGTGTTGACTTCTATGTTCACTTTATATATTTACATGCTCTATCTCTGATATTGTGCACTTTATCCCATAAATATAGCATACCTTAAGACTATATTTCTTTATATATATATATATATATATATATATATATATATATATATTGGATGGATGTCAAACAGAGCATACTCTATAAGGAACATTTTGATCTTAAAAAAACTTCACTGGACAAAAAATAATATTCTTATTGATGAAATTATATATATGCAGGGACAAGAGCAGGCCAGCTCAAGGTACTGGCAACTCAGGCAGTGGTGCAGGGTGCCATCATACCATGTGTTTTGGGACCTTCTAAACAAAAAAGAAAAATAATAAATAAAATACAAAAAAAAACCCAAAATATTAAATTTCTTGAGTGGAGTAAAAATTTTAAGAATTTGATTATTAATTTTTTTCTGTTATGGTGTCATGGACAAACACTATAACAGAACACTGAATGAGTGGGTGTTATACATTTTCAGTTTTTCTCTGTGAAAATTTTAAAATATTATTCTTGTAAGGGTGCCAACATTCAGCTTGCCCAGGGTTGCCAGCTACCCTAGAGCCAGTTCAGAAGTGAAGTAAATAAAAATGAAAAAGTTGGTTATAATTATTCACCAAGAGGAAATGCTGTCGATGCGGGACACAAAATTTTAAACTTAAAAATTTCTGGTGTCTGATGTGTCTAGACACAAGAATTTAGCTGATTTCATTTAGTTTCCCAGATGTCTTTGTATTTATTCTTATTGCTCTTGTTTTTAAATATCTGTTGTAATTTTGGCTAATCCTCATCACCAAAATGTTGTAACCTAGGGAAGGTTACTGAATAAAATAATTAAATGAAGGTTGGTGATGAATGATAATACTTAGGACAAGAACAACACATATAAGTTTCGTCAGCAGAACATAGAAGAAGTAGTCAACTGCTAGAAGTGAGTCTAGTGAATTCCACAATGAATCTCCAACTGCAGGATATCTACCAACTGCCCATGCAATCAGATGTTGCACAAGGCTGAATTTAATGTGGGGTTATCTGAACCCATAGGCTCGGCCAAAAATTCCCTGTAGACCTAGTATAAAAAAGGGTCGGGTAGCTGTTCCCTAAGACAAGACTCTGCCCTTCGACAGCCTCATCTGAGGATCCTCTCTGCCTGGAGGTAGAGAGTTTGACCAGCACTAGTTGAAGATGAATCTCCAACTGCAGACCAACATACAGTATTTACTACTGTATTTATGTGAATGGGGAAATACCTATTATCGTCCATAGGTATGCTACAATAATATCCCATACTACAATGGAAGATTTATTAAGAATGGTGACATGTTATAAGAACCTGTATGCAAATTTACCATGGAAGACTAAAAAAACTGTACTTTCAATGTATTTTTGTCTTAGTAAACTCTTTTAGTTAAAGCAGTATTTTTTTTAAGTTGAAACTATTGTCAGATTCATTATGATGAATGACTAAATCACTGTGTAAAAGAATTCTTTTGCGTTCATACTTTTTTATTTAAATTCCTTAGTCCCAACAATATATTTTTGTGGCTTTTATTATACCTTTGAAAATGACTAAGGTATTAATTGAAAGTGCTCAGGACATAAAACACTATGGACTTCACATACCCAGTCCTCACAAAAGAGATATTGTTAGGACATAAGAAAAATTGAATGAAAAACTTACAAAATATACTTTGTCTATCATATTTAATGAAACATTCATATATTTGAAACAGTATTTGCACATAGGTGTGTGTATGTATGTATGTATGTATGTATGTATGTATGTATGTATTATTATTATTATTATCATAACTGTTATTTTTTCTTTTAGTTTATTTAGTGAAAAAAAATTGTTTCCTTCAATGTCTTTCCCTCCAGAGTATAAGGTTTTAGGAACCTTTTCTGATTTTTGACGCAGATTCCATCATGTGGTATATCCACCCACTCAAGTTGTCAATCATTTTGACTTGAGGGGATTTTTATCGTAAACACAACTCATATCACAGTCACATTCTGCATCCTCTCAAAGTGAGGCTGATGGCCTCTAAGCTTGTTTTACAACTTTTATAGAACCTGTCATAGATTTCTAAGTCAAGGACAAACTATATTTCAGTCTGTTTCTCACCTCCTGTAAAAGACCCTGTTCAACCTACACCAGAATACTCTATCCATGGGGAGACTTTTACCTCCACTTTTTGCAAGTAGAACTTTGTTCCTTACTATAGATTTTTTCCCATGTACTAGAGCTGTTGATACAAACCCAAATAGAAAATTAATTTTAGCATAAAATGAAAAAAAATATAATCTGAGTTTAATTCATGATATCCCTTTTTGGTTTCTATAGATGCAAGATTAATTAAAATAACTTGAATGGACAGGTGAAGTGTTAGCATACAGCTGTCATATCTGAGGTTCTGTTCTTGATTCTGGTTTTAATACATTTAATACATTAAATATAATAACTATTATAAGATATAGGTGGTAATTTTATCTATTTTTTTTCTTAATTTTAATGTTATTGAAATTAAGAAAAAATGAGATAATTAGTCAGAGGTAGTATTTTATATTACTCCAAATTTTATTATAGTAAGTACTTCTTATTTGAAATAGATGATGTGACATCTATTTCAGTTTAAAAGTGTCTACTAAAATAAAGCTTAAACTGAAATAATAAAAATGTGCGATTAAAAAGAAATCCATTAAAATTTATTCCTTGGAAATAAGGAATGGATTAAATCTGACATATTATTTGTCTAAATGTTATTTTTAAAAGGATACTCATATTTGAGCAAGTGCTCTGTTTTTATTTATTTATTAAACAGTAAATTCATTTACTTACCTGAATATTTGAGAAATCTTGTTAGAAAAATATGCACCCTTCGGCAGGATTTGAACCTGCATCTCCTAGGTAAAACTGTCATTAGATATGATGTGCCTTGACCTGTCAGCCACATAGGACCTCATGATCAAACAAAGTCGGAATAATGGTTTCGAAAGCATATCTCTCCCAATCTTTGAAATATCTACTTTATTTCATATCCTAACGTAAACAAAGACAATTTCTTAAGGAATGAAAATAAATAAATAAATAAAAACAGAGCATCTACTCAAATATGAG